GGCTTTAACAAGAAAAAAAATACATGATAATTATTTTTTCAACACGACATTGCCAAGGTTTATCCATGCCAAAATGCTGAAGGAAATTTTAATGTGAAATGAACCACAGAAAAGATGATAATGAGAGAGGTTTACAAAGGCCCTGTCATCTGCAGACACATTGGCATTCTCTATTTTTCTTTCAGCTCCTCCTCAAACTGTTCTCCCTAATCTTTGATGTTTATATTATCCACCCACTTAAAATCTAACACTTGACAGACTCCAGGATTAAAAACAAGAGCTAAATTCACAAATCTTTACATAAAAGGTTAAACCAGTAACAGAGGTTGAAAAGATCTCACTGATATCTTACAGCACTGGCCAGCCTTGCCCTGTGGATCCACGCAAGAGTCACGTCTAGTCAATTCTTCCTGTGTAATGACTGCTGTCTACATCTTGCTCGCTTAAGGACTCGGGACAAATCAGGCCAAGAACTTCCCAACGGAGTAGCAGGGAAGGTGGGGGATTGATGTATGGAGGTTGAGGTTCCAAGGGCTAGTTGAGAAGTGATTACACAGGGCAGGATGAGTCCATGGCAGACACTGGAGTTGCCTACTCAACTGCCATTCACCTTCTTGCCTGCTAACCAAGCTCCAATTTTATTCAGGAAAAAATGCCCAGTACATGGGATGAGTAATGACTGCTCTAAGGCTAAGCCAATCGTGGTGGATTCATTCTCCTTTGCCCATGGTTGGGAGAGGAGCAGGCACATGGCCCAGACCTGATCAGTGCATTGTCAGGAGACCGTGATCAAGGGTTTGCAGGAAAGATTTCACTCCCTGATAAAAGAAAGACAAGGGAGGAAAAACCCTTTTTGCCTCCCTTCCCTTGAGTCCAGCTTGAATGCCTTTGTAGGAGGGGCTCTCAAGACAAGCATTCACAGAGAAGATGTTGCTCACTCACCAATCAGGCAGGGTGGCATCTGCCTTCTGGATAACATGGTTGAATTACCAACCCAGCCTCAAGACAGTCTTCTTGTTAAATAAACAACAAATATTATTATGATCTTTGGCCACTATTTGTTGGGTTTTTGTTTCATATAGCTGAAAAAACATCCTATACTTGATAAAAACCAAACTGCCAAGCAGGGATGGGGTGGAAGGATGGAGTCCAAAGGAGGAATAGAGCAATAAGAGTGTGGGAAACAGGCTGGAAAAATCATAAAAAAATTATGTCTGGGAGTGTGTCTGCTGAGTTCCTGGAGCCCTCCCTCCATGTGCTTCTGGCCGTGTGAGACAAGGGTGGTACTGACAGTTTAAAGAGTCAGTGTAGGACTAGACATCTCCAAAACTCACCCCTTCCTTTCTTTTCTCATATAGCACACTTTAGCCCAAATCCTCGCTGCCTCATGCTTGGAATCCTGCACGTTTCCTGACTGGGCTCCTATCTTTGGTCTCTCCACTCTCTAATTCACCCTGGGCATGGTAGCCAGATTAATCACCAGTCACACCACTTCCATACTCTGAAACCTTCCATGGCTCCCTATTTTAAAAGTCCACCTTCCCTAGACTTATATTTAAAGCGATTTACCTTCTTGCCATGCACAGACCTCTCTAACTAGATTGTAGTTCCTTAAGGACAGTTTCGTGTCATAACTTATTATCTCACCTAGTTCTTAGAATATCTTATATGCAATAATTTTCAATAACCCTTTATCCGTAGACATATTGATATTTTTACCTTGCCCTTTACCTTGTATCTTATATATTTTAGAAGACACAGTATTGCCTATTGATGAGATGATATGACAATATCTATTGGTTATATAAATGAATCATTTTGAACATGCAATAAACAGCCATTATTCTTATAAATTATGTCTAGGTTACCAATTTTTCATGCTAGTCAACTATTGTTTGTGTAATCTTATGACTTTGTGGTGATATTAGTGGTTACAAAATTGACAATTAAAAAGGGTCATAATAGAAATGATCATTTGTGCTATAGATTTGTAAATTAACAAATTTGGGTGCTATGATATTTTGGATTTAAATCTCTGCTATAATTATTTAAACAATAATTTATAACTCGCTTTACTTTTATAATTTCACAACCAGATTTTTTTTTAAATCGCAGAAACAGAACCAACATTCCTGGTTTATAGCATTATCATTTTACGCCTTGAAAATTGTATTAGTCACAGATAGCATCCTTGTATCTCTTGCATGTTCTTGATTCCACAACTTTGTTCTTGTCACTCTCTATTTAGTATGAGCTCTTGTCTTCCCTTAACTAATTCTTAAACATTCTTCAAGGCTCAGTGTAAGTCTCATAAGTCACGGGAGGACTTTCCTGACCCCTGTAATCCACTGTGGTTTCCCTTTCTTTTGAGTTCCCATTGCACGTATGATCTGTACCACTCATCATGCCCTTCACAGTCTTCATTTTAGATGTATATGCAACCCAAATGTTTTCAAGACATCCACCTTTTCCTTTAGTATTTAATGCAATAAAGGAAGCTTCTATTGTACATACCTTTGCTCTTAAATTTACTGACACTGTCACCTCTTGCTTCAAACCTCTACTCCCAGCTCAATTCTTGATGATCTTTCACCATCTTACCTATGGCATTTGCTAACCGCTCTTAACACTGCTTTTCCCAAGAAGGGACACAACCTCTTCTCCTCCCTTCCTCACAGCACCTTTAACACAAGGCTGTTTCATGTAACAGACATTTTTTTTTAAACATTTGAGAATGACAGAGGATAATTGAACTTAAAACAGAAAATGATTAAAATTTCTGTATTATAATCAAAATAATTGCCTATTATTGAGTACTTAATATGTTGCCAGATACTGTGCCAAACATTCTCTCTCTCTCTCTCTCTCTATATATATATATATATATATACATATATATATATATATTTTTTTTTTTAGGTTAGCAAGCATTTTACATGCATTATTTCACTTAATATTCATAGTATCCTTACACCCACTATCACACAGCTGGTAAATTAGGGGCCATGATTCAAGTCTTTCTTGCCCTATAGTCCACACTAATCAATACAGTTCTTGAAGTTCATGGCCTTTGAGTCTCTTACTGCATATATGCAACAAACTTGGTTGTCTATTTATTTTTTTTTGCATCTTCACATGTTCAGTGTAGTTGTCTATTTAATGTTCACTCTATTTCTCTTTCCTTCTTATAGAACTTTGATTTGTTTAGAAATCCAACCTCTTCTAGCCCCATTCCTGAGAGCTGCACCCTGATTGTTCTTAGCAATTACATTTGGCAGTGATTGCTTTAGGCATGGACATATGATGCATTCTGGCCAACACGGTGTGAAAGGAAATCTTCTGGACTGCTTCTAAGAAAGGTTCCCTCCTCCCAAGATAGATAAATGGAAAAAGATAGTCTCTTCCTCCAAATGTTGTCCTGTCCAAAGGTGATACACAGAATTGCTGTAGCCTTCTTAAAACTATAAGGAGGTTTCCTTAAGAACAAAGACAACACAAGAAAGAGAGCAAAAAGGAAAGTTGGGGTGGGGGGCAGGCATGGTGGCTCATGCCTATAATCCTAGCACTCTGGGAGGCTGAGGTGGGAGGATTGCTTGAGCTCAGGAGTTCAAGACCAGCCGGAGTAAGAGTATGACCCTGTCTCTACAAAAATATAAAAATTAGCCAGGTGTTGTGGTGTGCGCCTGTAGTCCCAGCTACTTGTGAGGCTGAGGTAGAAGGATTGCTGGAGCCCAGTAGTGTGAGTTGCTGTGAGCTATGCTGATGCCACAGCACTCTAGCCCTGGTAACAGAGTGAGACTGTCTCAAAAAAAAAAAAAAAAAAAGGAAAGTTGGAAAAAACCTGATCTTACTGTTGGCCCACCAGTATATTTAATCTTCAACATTCCTACCTCTGGACTCGAGGAATAATAATATTATTATTTATGCTCATTTTGAGCTCAGTTTTTTAGTATTTACAACAAAAAATATCCTAATGGACACTTTGGTTTCTCTCTCCTAAGACTTTAACCGGCTGCCGTTGCAAGGACTCAGACTCACTCTCCCAATATCTCTAGCCTTCCTTGAGTCTCAGACTTTCTAAATCTACTTTCTCTAAATGTCAGAGAACAACTCCCAAAATTCTATCAATTTACTATGAAGAATTATTCCCTTTTATCTCAACTTCTCTCATCTAGCCTCCAGGGTCCCCTCCCCACCACTTCATTACCGAAATACTCAATGAGTTCTCCAGAATAATTCTTTCCCAGAGATTATTAGATGCTAAAGACCAGGACTCATACTGCCTGAGTCTGAGTCTCAGCTCCATGTCTTGCTAGCTGTGTAAACTTTGACAAGTCATTTAATTTTTTTACGGCTCATTTTCATCTGTCAAATGGGAATAATAATCGAAAAATTGTGAAGATTAAATGACATCATCTACTCAAAGACTTTAGAAAAATGCTTGGCACTTATAAGCATTCAAGAAAAAAATATTGGTTGGAAGTAAAAGAAACTAGCTAAGGTAGGCAGAAAGGGAGCTTTCCATTTTCTGTGTTAGTAGCTCATAAAATAGAAAGCCTCGCTCAATAACCAGGCTCAGAAAACACAAGGACCAGGGCTTCCTTGGGAATCCAAATAGCAAGAAGGAAGTAATATTTTTCAGTCTTTTGTATTTCTGCTCAAGATTCAAATTCTTAGGAGCAAACATCTGATTGGCCTGGGTTGGTCATGTTTGCACATCTTATTTGGCTAACAAAGTACCTTGGTTAGTGGTGCAGCCAGAATGTTTCCAATGGTGCCTCAAAGCAAACTTGAATTACTGTCACCAGAAGAAGGAGTAAAGTGAGAAACAACCTACCTACATTGGTTACACTACATTTGTTATATTTATAGGACAAGGATCATGTCTTACCTACTACATTGCCTAACATTCTAATTCAAGTATTGTCAATACTCAGGTGTGTTAGTTGGTTTTTCTTATACAAGTTTATTTGTAACATGGATCATTTGTATTTTCAAAGGTTAATCCAAAAGAAAACATATGTTCCTCTCTTGGGTACTTTTTAAGCTCAGGAAGTCTGTCAATGATAATTACGAAAAGATGTAACAAGACTGTTTCTGGAAGATGGGAGGAACAGAGTAAAGGTATGGTGGCCAACCTAAACAAAATATATATATAATACATATAAAATATATAATATATACATTTTTATTTATAAATACATATAGTAATATATTTATATTTATTATATATTAACATATGTTTGATATTATATATAATAATTTATGTTTAATAATTAATAACAGTTATTTTTTATATTTAATAAATCTAATATATATTATATACTATATAAATAGATACAAATATAATATATAATATTTAATATAAATATATTATGTAATAGATTATATTTACAAATATAGAATATAAATATATAATATAAAAATATATCTAATATATTATATATATATATAAAAGCAAAGATAATTGAGGACATGGCTGTCAGTCTGTCTTCTCCATTCATCTCTCAGTTTGGCACAGATTTTTATCCCAGAGAACCAAGTAAAAAGAGATAGGGAGAATTGATAGGAAAGCATCTCAATGGTCTAAATGGGTCTTTTGGTTTAATCTTCAGAAGGGGTGTTCTTTTGACCTCAAGCCTGGTCAAAAAGAACATTCCATGTTGCATCTATAGCCAAAAACCTTAGAGAAAGCCTTAACTTCACTGTTCATTGCTTCTTTTATCCCCATATTTTCAGCCACCAATTTGCATCCATTTTTTTATAAACATATTTTTCCTTCACAGTCATTCCTATCAACAAAGACAGCTTGGATACCAGACCAGGATCACAAGCCTGCCTCCCAAGAGCATATTCTCATTCCATTCTTTTCCGTGGAATCACAGCACGAGTCAGCTTCCTTCAGCATTATTTTGGCCTCACGCCTTTCAAATCACACTTAAGCTCCTGATCCAGATGTGAGAGCAATCTGGCTGAGACATCTGCCACCCCTTTGTTCGTCAGTGCTGACTTTACTGATCCAACTGGGAAGGCAGATGTCCCCTTCCTTCCTCACGCTCCGTGTGCACCCCATCCCCCACGAAGCTGCACACATGGAATTGCTGGTAAACAAACAGGAAGGGAAGCCGTGGTCTTGGGCAAAACTGTCGAAGGAAAGATTAGAGTCTAAGAGGAGGGGTGGGCCAGGGACTAAGTATTAGGAAACTCTGACATTGAATGGCCAAGTCGTGAAGGGTATGCCTGAAAGGAAGCAGAGAAGTAGATGTCAGGGAGTTAGGAGGAAAACCAGAAAAATGTGGTGTTGTGGAAGCTGAGGGAAGAGAGGGTCTCAAGTAAAGAGACATAAACAAAACGTGGCATGTAATACAATGGAATATTATTGGGCCTTAAAAAGGAAGGGAATTCTGTCACATGCTACAACATGAATGAACCTTGAAGATGTTATGCTAAGTGAAATAAGTCAGGACAAATATTGTATCATTCCACTTATATAAAGCATTTAGTCAAACTCACAGAGATAGAAAGTAGAATGGTGGTCGCCAGGGGCTGGGAATAAGGGGGAATGGGGAGTTATTGTTTAATGGGTAAAGAGTTTTCATTTTGCAAGATGGAAAGAGTTCTGTGGATGATGAAAAGGTGGTGACGATAGCACAGCAATAGTAGCGCAGCAATGTGAATGCACTTAATGTTACTGAACTATACTCTTAAAAGTGGTAGAGATGTTTTATGTTATAAGTATTTTACCACAACGTTTTTAAAACAGTAAAGAGAGGTCAACAGAGTCAGAGGCTGCTGAAAGATCAGGTATAGAGAGGATTGAAAATGTCCCTTGTGTTTAGTGTTTAGAGACTGCTGGTGAAAAGTATGAGAGGGATCCTGTCTACATTCTTGGTGACTCCAATATTCACATGTAAAGATCCATTCATATTTAACTGACTTCAGTAAAAGTGAGTCATGACAGATTCGGGCCATCTTTGGTTCCATGGCTAACCTCTTCCTCCTGTCCCCGCCCTCACTTGGTGCATTTCATTCTCCCTGGAGTGCTCTCTGGCTCCCATACATACTTCACCATTTTCTACATAAAGCTTAACAGGACTTAAATGTCCTATTTCCCCAGGTAGGGTACTCATCCCTCCTCTCTGCCAACCTGTATCTCTCCCCTGCTTCCAAGCAGTCTCTAAACACTTCCCTCCTCCAAATGAATCTAGATGAACTCAATTTGTCCTAAAAAATTCTTACCATTATCTTCATCTCTATTATTCACTAATAATTTTTTCATGTTAAAAACAGTAAAATGTCATTTATCATTCATTCAACCATTACTTTAAAAATGTAACATTCTGACAGGGTGTGGTGGCTCATGCCTATAAATCCTAGCACTCCGGGAGGCCAAGACAGGAGGATCACTTGAGGTCGGCAATTCAAGACCAGCCTAAGCAAGAGCAAGACCCCGTGTCTACAAAAAATGGAAAATATTAGCTGGGTGTGGGGGCGTGTGCCTGTAGTCCCAGCTACACGGGAACCTGAGGCAGGAGGATCACTTGAGGCCAGGAGTTTGAGGTTACAGTGAGTTATGATGAGGCCACTGTACTCTAGCCAGGGCAACAGAGCAAGACTCTGTCTCAAAAAAAAAAGTAACATTCCATAAACATTAATAGAGCCTCTACTATAGACCAGGTCATTGTGACAGTTACTGGAACTACAGTTCCTGCCTTCAAAAAGCCCATAGTCCAGTGGGGAAGAATTTATTTTCTGTGCTTTATACAGAGTTTTTGTCTTCAGTTTAAATTTAAAAATGCAAATGGCAAAGGAAAAAATATCTCTCTACAGAAAGATTTACAACTATTTTGGGAGACAATATAGCCTTACAGTTTCAGTAGGAACTCCTCATTGCAGATAAATTTAGTATAAAATTACCACTTTGGCCTTGTTATGTGTCTACAGTATACCTTTTACAACAGAACTTTCCAGCACTAGTTTCCTCAGCTCCCCTACATGTATTCTATGTTCCAGTAAGACTGAATTACTTTATTTTATTATTTCTAAAATGTAACTGATGATTATAAGACACAGCATCAATTAAAGAACATTTCAGGGAGAAAAGGGAACAACCATAGTACATTTGGATAGTGATTATAAGACACGTACCAATTATAGCAACTTGGAAATGTTAAAATGGAAGTGGGCAGCAAGAAGGTGAAGTGTGCATCTTAAGTTGAAAGATATGCAGTGTTTGTTGCTCTCAGAAATTGCTTTTCTTTCCATTTGGAACATCTCCCTTCTCCCTACCCTTACCAACAACCTATCTAGTTTTGAAGGAGTCCTTCATCTCATGAAACCTGTCCTGATCCTACCAACCAAATGTCAACTTTTGTTTGTTCATTGGTTTATTTGACAAATATATATTGAATACCTACTATTACAAGTGCCTTTTGCAATTCAGCACCAGCAAAAATTGTACTTCTGAACTGGTTTGCTTCTTCCCTTCTGAACCCAAGATTTATATAGTGGGCTGTGCTTTACCTCACTGTTATGGAGTAACAAGGCTCAACATCAATTCAACTATTTAATTTGAACAATTAAAGCCACATGTTTATCCATATGGCTATATCTTTCTCCCAGATTCTGACTTTTCTCCTTATAATGATTAATATCACAGTTTGCCAGGCTCTGTGCCAAGTGTTTTACATGAGTTATCTCATGTAATCTTCACGATAATCTGAGTTTTACTGATGAAAAAAAAAAACTGAGGCTTAGAGAAATATCAAACAGAGATATTAAGTACTAGAGCCTTCCTAGATTGAACCCAGGCAGTCTGACTTCCCCATTATACTATATCTTAATATCTCAACATATGTGGTATTGTCTCAAAATAATTTCAGGAAATAAGAGGATTTGTATATATATGCAAATTTGTGTATATACGCAAATATATATCTGTATGTTTATATGTACATATGTACATTTACATAAAATTATTTGGATTGAATTAAAAACAAGATACCATAGGTGATGATGGCCTATCTCATATACTGTTATATTTGGTGGTCATTATGAAATATACCTAGTCTACTAAAACTTTGATTATTTGATATAAACAAGTAGGACCTAATTGATGGAGTAGTTTCAAATGCAGTTTTAATACACAATTAAATCTAAGAGGTAAGCAATTCTATGTTACATTTTCATCAGAATGTAAGTGGATAAAGAGTCTCTCAAATTCTCAAGTTCAAATTGGGCCCAGCACACTGCAGTAAATTTCAAAGAGAGAGTTCCCAGCTGCATTGCAGTAAAATTCCTTAGATAATATTTGCCATGTTTTAATATAAGATTGGCTCCCAACTGGGAATTGGATCATGGGTTCCTGGCTCTTTCAGACACTCGAGTTGAGCTCATCGGCAGATTTTTATACTTTTTAACACATAAATAACTCTGCATTCCCTCTCAGCCAAGATTGGTTTTATATTTTTATAGAGACAATTTGCGGAGAGAAGGGAGTTATTCGAGTTTATTCCCAAGGCAAATTCTATCTTTTAGGGTGGTATTCAAGGCTAACTTTTTTCACTTATGGCAAGAGCTTACAACAGCACTTGTTAGAAAATAGAGCCATTGATATATTGAGAACCAAAAAAATTTCCAGCAATATTTATTTTCCTTCACCAAAGCTACAGAGGTGAGAAAGCTCAGTAAGACAACCTGTTTCAGGAACAAACAAAGCCACAGAAGGAAATCCTCCCAGGGTATTCAGACTCATTTAGTGAGAGCAATAGCTTTTGATTTGCAGGAAGAACAGGTGTTCCCCCAGAAAAAAACCCTGCAGAGTCACCTCACAGAGCCAACACACAATTGGAAAACTGGCAAAAGCTGAATTACTGAAGCACAATTCTGAAGGAAGGTAGAATACAGCATAGTGTGTTTTGCTTATCTGTCCCTAAGATTACCTGATAATATTATTGGGGACTTCCGGGGCTGGGGAAGAGGAATTGTTTACAACTGATAAGAAAATGTAGCTCTTCTCTCTTTCATTTTGGAAGGGATTAATAGAAAAGGCATAATTTGACTGCAGTATATTATCAAAGTGGTCAGAAATCAAGTGAACAAAATTTAGTATAGTCAATAGCAGTGGGGGGAAAATGCTTTCTAAAGATAAGAAAATGATGGCATAAGATGGTTGCAGAAAGACTAAAGAGGCATAGGGGACTGAAAGATGTGCATGAGTCAGCACCATTGAGGACTGCACAATTCAGGCATCTGCTTGTCTAAACAAAAGTTTGCCACGCGTGAATTGCAAGATGGTTCCACGCATTGTTGAATGCCATGCTGTTGATGGGATGGGGGTGGAGGAGTAACAGAATTTGTCTAAATACTTCTGCAGGCCAATTTCCACAAGTTGCTGGGTGTTTATTCTTTCAGGACCTCATTGATTATTTTATCATTCAATTGACTTTTCCTGGGTGCCACTCACTGCCAGACACTGTGCCAGGTTGGGGAGATAGGTGGATAAAACAAGAAATTTAGAAAAGGGAGTGATGTAATCGGGTCTCAGAAAAATTGTCTCATACTGTTCAAACCCCCAAGAGACTGTTTGACATGAAAAAGATTCATTAGTTTATAATGGAAAATGTTAAGGACTTGGAATGTGAATTGGGACTGCATTCCTGATAACACCCTAGATGGAGCCTAAGGCACAAGATCACATGACTCTTGGAATACAGATTTAGAGCAAACGGAGCTAGATTTGTTTGAAACACAATACCTTCTCCAACGATCCTTTTATTCATTTATCTTTAATTCCCCCACCCTCAATATCACATATTTACCCTTCAGCTAAGAATTCTGCTTTCTCAGCTGATGCTTATTTCTCACCTACATCTCTGATTCCTTCACACTAGTATAGAAATTAGAGCACATGCTTTGCAGGTAAGGAGACCTGAGTTCAAATTTTGACTCAGCCACTAGCTATGTGACATTGGGTAAGTTACTCATCCTTTCTGAGCTTCAAATTCCTCATCTGTAAAATGAAAGCAATAATAGTAACTATCTGACAGAGTTGTTATGAAGATTAAATGAGATAATACATGCAAAATAGCTAGCCCAACTAGTTATAGCTAATGTAACCATTACATCCTAATAGTATCTGCTCTCATATTTAAGTGGCATACAATCTTTTTGACTTCTGCTTGTCTCATTTGTTTCTAATACTGTTTTATTCTAATATATAATTAATTTTTATTCTAAAAATAATATAACAGCATTATAGAAAATTTGGAAATTAGAAAGAAACAATAACTCTTAATTTTGCCATCCTAACAAACCATTAAAAGCATCTTGGTATATTTCTTTCTAAATTTTTGTTACAAACAATTCTTTTTTA